GTTTTATTTTATCGGTTTGGATCGGTTTTTATCCAAACCGTGAACACCCCTAAATATGGTATTGTAATTATGAGAAAATATTTATTCACATTCCATATTTATATTTAAATAATAATATAATAAATTATTATTTTATTTATTATACTTTAAGTGGCGTGCGAAGTTAAATAAGACCAAAAAAATAGACGGAGGGGGTATAAATTATAGTTGAACTATTAATATATCTTTTAAAAAAGAGAAAATACATAAAATCCCCTCTGAACTTGGCAACAAAACTTATTTTAGCACTTTAACTTTACATATAATTGTTTATCCCCCTAATTTAATTTCAAGTGAATTTAAATCCACCTTAAGTTTATAAGACCCGTCTCACAATGGCAAGTGTATTCCACACGCGTCATGTCATCGATACGTCAGTGCCACATTGATAATTATTTAAATTTTGAGTTTTTTATTCCTTTTTTGTTTTCTTAATTCACAATTTTAGAAAGGAAAAAAAAAATTAATCCAAGATTATAAAAAAGAAAAATTAAAATTAAAAAATTCTCAAAAAAAAATCAAACTCCACGGATCCAAAATTCTCAAGACCATTTCACTAAAAACATTCAATCTTTAAGGCACATTATCAAAGTAAATACATAGTTATAACTAAAAATTTAATTTGAGATGAAAGAATTATAAATTTTTCACTAAAAAGAGCTTTAAGTTCATCAAATCAATAAACACCTTCATAAGTAGTGATCTTGAAGCAATAATAAGTTGTTGGTTTTTTTTCATTTTTTTCGTTGTTCGTCACATCTAAGAATAAGTGATTCTCATTTAGTGATGGAAAATAAATGGGGGTATGAATGTTCCGAAGAAGGAGAAAGAAGGGGGAGAAAGAGGTTCATCGAAGAGGAAGAAGAAAGGGATGAGGTAGGTGGTGGCTGAGACAGTGGAGTTCGAAAAAATAAGAAGGAGGGGTGAGGATGGAGAGTTCGAAGAAAGAGAAATAGGGTGAAGGTGAAGGATTTCGAAAAAAGAAAAAAAAGTGGGGAGTTCTACAAAGAAAATGAGGAGGTGGTGCAGGTGGTGGGGTGTGAGGAAGATGAAGAGAAAAAAAAAATTTGGCTGAAAAGAAAATAAAAGTAGCCCAATTATTTTTTCTCTTTAATTTTTAACTTTTTACGTGCTTTTCTTTTTTTTTATTTGCCACATGCATCAGCCATTAAGGGGGTATTTGAACATCCGTGTAGTTAAAGTATTAAAGTAAGTTTTGCAGTCAAGTTCAAGGGGAATTTAATGTATTTAAAAAACAAAAAACTTTGAAGTTATCTGTTTTTTTAACATTTAAAACTTCCTTTTAACTTCTTTATTTCAAATTAACTGAAGTTAAATTAATTATCACCTATTTTAAAATATCTATATATTAAAGAAGATTAAAATCGAAGTTCAATTCTCATCTCTTGTTAGTTAGGGAAAAATAGAGAAAATGATCAAAATGGTCCTTAATGTTTAAGGGTTGAATTATTTTGGTCCTCTATATATATCATCTTATCTAAATAGTCCTTAATATATATAAAATGATGATCATTTTAGTCCTTAGCCCTAAAACTAACCAAAAAAATTAAAAAAAATGTTAACTTTAACAGTAAGTCCCTTGAAATTGAGACCCTTCTTCCTCAATCTGTTCTTTCACCATCACCACAAGCACACCCTTTTCCTTAAATTTTTTTCTTTCACCATTTCAAGTCATGCTCCATACACACTACATCCATTTCTCATTTCCCTCTAAAAACTTCTATTTCATACATAATAATAAGAAGAAAATCAAGATTACTAAAATAAATGTGAACTAAATAAATTGGATAAAAGTTTCCATTTTTCCTCCGAGGAGATCGCTATAAATAAACTTTTTTTAAGTTGTAACTAGTTATTCTCTCTTATTAAAGTGATCTATGGGGATATAGCTATCTTTTCGTTTTAACCTTTTCAAAATTAAAGTTTTTCCAGCATTGTTTTTTCATTCTATTTTTAAAATAAAAGAGTAAAAATTGAACAAATAGAGATAGAAAATAAAAATCATACAAATATTCTTTTGAAATTTGAAGAAACTTTTATGAGTATGAGAAGATTTTGGCAATGGAAATTGTGCAAGAAATGGCAACAGAAGAAGAAAGGAGAAGAAATGGCGGAAAAGGATGATGGAGGAAGAAGGGTCTACCAAGTGTGGGACCCACAGTTAAGTTTAATAAGTTTTTTATTGTTTTAGTTAGTTTTTAGGGTTAAGGATCAAAATGATACTCTTTTAATATACATTAAGGATTATTTGGATAAGATGAGATATATAAAGGATCAAGATAACTCAACCCATATACATAAAGGACTATTTTGATCATTTTCTCGGGAAAAATACCTCAATGTTGATTGAATAGAATGTGTATGTTCGGTTGGTTTGACCCTATTTTTTCATTTACGTGAGTTTTTAATTTTTTTAAGTTTAGTTTAAAAAACACAACTAAATTATTCATTATTTTTAGTTTTTTTATCCAAATTATTAGGAGTGTGAAAAACACACTTAAATTATCATTCATTAATTTGCATAAAACATATTCATATTGATTGGACCTTGAATTTTCGTTCGTGTGACTTTTTTTCTTATTTATATATATACTAGTAACGAAAGCCCGGGCGCTGCCCGGGCCCAACATTAATAAAGTTATATTGTTATTCTCTCCGTCCCATATTAGATGAGAATCTTACTAAATTTTTATTTTTCATATTATTTGAGCACTTATTAAATTAGGATAAAATTAATTAATTCTTTTCCATTTTACCCCTACAATTAATATGACCATTCCTATATTGTATGTGTATTTTTTGTAACTCATTTCAATGTGCATTGATATAAAGAAAGGGCAAAATGGTGAAGTCTTCCAATGTATTAATGATTTCTTAATCACCGTGTAAAGTTGGAAGTGCCCATCTAATAAGAGACAGA